GTAAAACCCTTTACCACAACAAGAAGCATCTGAACCACAAATTCGAGCAAGATGATGTTACAAGATGAAATAGAACATTTGAAATGGCTAAATGGGTCTTTGAACAACAGGCTGTACTCCATGCTGTCATTCAAAGTAAACAGACCAAGAAATCAGAACCTGACATAGCACTACCAAATGATGATGAAAGTAATTGTGCTTGAAGAGACTGTTCAGCTTATGAGACTAATGAAAACAGCTACTTGTGCTCTTATAATATCACTAGTTGGACATTTATACCATCAATTTTTGATAAACTTGATAGCCCATGAAGAATATTCATTACAAGTAAAGGAAATCAAACGTGTAGTTCATGTTATAAAAATGATATACCTTTCTTGTGAAAAGCAGCAGCATTAGAAACTAGATTTAATACTTTTACAAAGCTAGAATAATGCTGAAAAAATGAAAGTTTTCATATTGCTAGCTGATATGTATATATATATATATTTAGTTAAACTTATTATTATTATTATTATATGTCAATATTATAGATATCACTAGGTGTCATATGTTAAACATTATTTCATTGTTAAGCTAAATTATTGTTAAAAAGTCTACATAAACTTTAAGAAAAAAGTCTGAACAAACAGATAATGGCATGCATTCTGCAATCTGCTCCACTCCTTTCAGTTTATTACAGTAAATCAATGTTTTTCTTTATCATGCAGGACATGTACAATCCCAAGTTGTTTCAAGTTTGCTTTGTTCATGAAACTCTCTTTCAAATTTATTTTTCATGTGACTGTAACAAAAGAGCAGGATACAGCAGCACTTTGCTTTGGATCCACCTTTGCTAAAATTGCCACAAAAGGTGTAAATGAAGAGCCATCACTACATGCAACAAAATCAACCCAAGCTCACCAGGGGATTTAGCCGATTCTATAAATGGTCTTTCTTGTAAAAATTAAAAATCAGAAAAACAGACCATAGTAACAATCCTGCTGCAACTGACTTGTTTAGTGACATTTCCATCATGGAAACTGAACCAGTTTCTCAATCATCTGCAGTCCAGACCCGCATATCGGTCAACCCTTAATTACAGCCATTTTGGCACAGTTCCAAATATTTCCTTCTATTTTATGTTTGTAAAACATCCGCTATTATGGGCACTCATATTGTGATCAACTTGACTTGTGGTCTCCTGTTTCCCAGTCCCAAGCAATCTCTTTGAACTCAGTATTGTGGCCACCCAGGCCGGTTCTCACAAGCTGCTGCCCAATTGAGACCTGTCAATCAAAGTGAGGCCACTACAGTACATCGACTGAGTGCGGCCACATCTTGTAGGTGTTATAAACCAGGTGACTATTGATGTTCCCTATTAATGGCATGCTGATCCTACTTGATGCTTCACACCTCATGCTGCACTGATGATCATACATACACGATCAAACATACAGTATGTTTTCACACTCCTTTAAACTTTGTCATTTGTAACACTTCTAGTTCGATGTCTCTTTTGGTCTTCTTGTGAACAAAAGAATTGTTCAAAGGGGAAAATTCAAACATTCAAGTTTTGTCACCTTTCCCCTCCATTTTGCAATAAATAGAGATCTGCTATCTCAGCCAAATCAATTGTCTCTGTTCTATTGATGGAAATGGCAGAAAGTTGTTTTTTCATGATTTGAGTATCATTACTGCCAGGTGTCACCACATGTGCACATAAACAACAACACTATGCCTTGGCCCCTGATACTGTGTGGTGCAAGGAAAACTCATGAAGGTCATTGTTGTCCTAAGTTTTGCATTTATCTGTTAATCAAAAATACAGTACAGAATTTTTATTTTTTAGACAAGAAATGACAAAAATAGGTATGTAAAGATGTTATTACAACATTCTGTATCAAACAGGAACATAGAAAGGTGAGTATTATGGGCAAGTTGTAGGGGTATGTACTGTGCCTTTGAGGCCTCAGTCTGATCCCAGGGTTGACCCCATACAGTGACACCCGGTAATATGGCCACCTCTGCCATTAACTGCTTAGACCCACAGCTGTCCAGATAAACAGGGCTGGACTGTATTTAAATTACTAATAAAGAGGTGTTACACTGATAAATTGAGTCTATGATACACTTTAAATTAAATCCACTTAAAATGGTGGAAAAAAAAGGAAGTATTGTATTCACTTTTAAGCACTGTAGCAAAGAAATATCTAGGTATTCTGACAACATTAGTACCTATTCAAAGAGTATTTACAACTGCTGGGGACATTGCCACCTTACAAAGATCTGCCATAATACCCAAACATTTAGACAGACAAACTTTCTTCAAGAATTTCAAAATCTAGACTTTTAAGAGGTTGTTTAGGATCAGTGGCTGTTAACATGGTTTAATTGTGATACCTATAATACCCTGAAACTTTAGTATTCTCTTAGCACCAAGTCTTGTTAAAGAAAGCTCAATGTTATTTTTAAAAGATCAGTCTTATTTTTCCTGATACCAAGTAGCATTTTTTGCAAATCGTTGTTTTATTTTGCCAGAAAGCACTGATGTATTAAATTAATTTACTGTTCAAAATATGTCAGTGTACTTTTGAATCAAATGGGAAATATGATAAATGCTTTGATAAGTATAGTATTATATTAGTGTTTCATGATACGTATCGTATCTACAAATCAGTGGCAATACATATCTCTAAGCTCCACACTAGACAGAGGACAGAGAATGCAGCACACATTTCAAGATGTTGTAAAAGAAAAACACAAGTCATAAATGATTTATCAACTGGTGCAGTATAAGAAATTATGTAATAGAGGTAACAATAGAAAGACAACATAGTATGCTGGAGAAAAATAGAATAAAATACACAGTTTCTTTACTTTAACAAGGCTGAAGATGACTACAGTATAGTAGATTAAAGCTTAATGCAAAGTATCAAATATTAATGTGGAAAACCATGCTACAATTCTAAAAAATGTTATAGTCATATGCTTGAATAATGTAGCACAAGACTTACTCTGTCTCAATACTAAACGGAAACATACCTGAAAATAATAGTTACAACACTCCAAAAAATTATCTAACCTTTTACATGTTAAAATGAGGTATTTTCTTTGTTTCTTAACAATATTAACAGTAAAAACACTGTCATATTTGTGATAAGAACTAACCTGAGTTCATTGTCATCTAAGTGAGCAAACAAAACATTCTGATGAATAGCTTTAGAGAGAGCTGCCATGGTCTTATAGTCTTTGGGAACAACCTAAAATCAAAGAATTCAAATGCACAGATTCAACAAAATGTACTACTTTTACGTGTTCCTTTTTTTCAATCTTTAAAATAACAGGATAATATATCTTTTAAAACATCATTAATGTCACATAATTCACTTAACTTCATGGGGCAAACCAAACTATTATCCAATTCTTAAACCAATTAACCGACTGTGCACGGGGTCAGTTTGACCGTGTACTGGAGAAGGAATGTTCACTATATTGTTCTATCTAGTTATGTCTCAGCTGCCTAGTGTTGGCTAACAATATAAAGAGTTAAACTGTGGCAGAATGCTACAAGTTCTTCAAATACCAATAGAATGATAGGTTTCTTTTTTTGTGAGTGTTAAACACTTAAATACACCATTTCAAATGTTGACTATAATTCCAAGTTTACTTCATGAATCGACACAAAATGTAACAATATTTTTGTAAAATGTACATATCAATAGGTGTGTACTCAAGATATGTCTGTGAACTGAGGAAGTCAGTCTAACTCAAACTCTAACAATTCAGAGTGCATGTTGATGCTCAAAATACTTTTGACCATTGTACAATTTGCATACCACGGTGGCATAACTGCTAGGACTTCCAAAATGCACATCTACAGTTTTTTATTTTCAGTATCCCTGTCTATTGTATCTGATATTAACTCTCCTCTATCAGGAACTGTCTCTATATATCTAGGATAAAATGAATAGCTGATAACTCTGACATCAAATACATACCATGTTCAATGGTAAAAGGTTGTGGCATACACACTTACCCCCACCCATACACATAGAGTTAAGTGTGTAACTAGCATTTAAAGTTACAGAAGGAAAAAAGATGCATGTTATTTCTATAACTTATTAAAACTATGAGGTCTCATAATACGGGAACAATAAATCATACAAATAACCTTCTATGCTCAAATAAAATATGTTTGTTGTGAAACTAAATGGATCTGAATCTCTTAATGTTTAAAAACAATAATAGCTTATAAATTTACATATATTATATTACAAGCTGAATTTAACTAATAAACATGTATATAAAATATTTTAACACAAAAATTAACTGATAAGTAATACATTTATAAGAGCTTAATCTCCAATATGTAAGCATAAGTGAAAAATATATAGCAAAAGCAAGAAAAATATCAAAGGTGAGAATTAGGACACATTAAGCTATTACTTATTATTTCACAAGTGAAAAATTAAATAAATTTAGAAAATTAGATCTGACAGAAATTAAAAACTGAAGGAAAAGCATGCTTTACTTTTTTTACTTTACAAGATTAACTTGTATTTATGCAATCACAAATGTCCACCTTTCTATAATTCAAAGCAGAATACATAACCTTTCATGTGAAAACAGATGAACACAAATCATATATGTAAATTTATGGTTTTATACTGAAGAAAAAAAACTATAGCATTACAAAATGACTTAAAATGTATGTGTAGTTTTTTTGTTTTTTTTATGAATGCAGATTTGAAATAAATAAAAGAAAAGGTACATCTAGTAATAATATGTAACAAATACTAAAGAGCTACCAGTATTAAATTTGAGATATTTTTGATAAGTACATTTGGCTCAAAATCTATGAAGACTATTATTTATTTACTTTGTTAAATCAATATATAAAAATTAAACAAACAGCTTTTGTATTGCTTCATTGTAAATGCTATTATCCCAATACAACTTGTGAAGTTTAACTTTTATTTGTGGATCATTCTGGAGTGATTTCGGTTTCAACTGTTAACCCTCAAAAAGAGATACATGTACACTGGGCCGGTTAATCAACTTTATAAAAACAGTGTTCTAGGTTCGGTACTACCATTGGAACTACTTCCTCCATAGTCAATTGTGTTCATTCTGATTTTCCATAATTACAATTTATTGCTTGATTTCACCATTTCCATTGTAACAAAGCTTCTGCAAAGGAAAGATCAATATTACAGTATGTCTCACATCTTGACAACCTTTTGCACAGAGACTCCACTACACATCAAATCAGCTTTCAAGACTATGTCTAAGCAAAGTCTGCTTTAGCTGCATCAGGGGACTTGACTAATGTGTGGTCAAATAGGATTGGGGCGATCTCAATTTCTTCGGCCATCTCATTCAAGAAGGTAGCCACTGATTTCAAAATGTGGCTGGAAAATTATGAACCTCTTTTGACACCAAGATATATGTCGAGTATTATTTTGCAAAAAAAAAAAAAGCACTATGTCCAACTGCCTAGGGTGAGGTTTCAGAGCTCTTTGCTCTCCCAAGTGATCTGAGTCAAAAGAGCAGGTTTGAGTAGAAAGTCACGTTTGAAAAACTTGTTGTATAAATAAAACTTAGCAGTTTTTTTTTCTTCTGGAGATAATGGTAAATTATTCAAAGTTATCTGAACAAGATGTTATTATGTTACTATAAAAATAAAAAGTTGGAAATTCAATCAAATCATTAAAGATCACTGAAATTCATAACATCAATGCAAGTTTCATTTCTTAGCACTTATGTTAAAAATAATTTGTACTGAGAGTAATAAAGAAATGTGTTTTTTCTATGATAGTTTTAGATTCTCCAATCTTTCAGTGTGGATTTAACTTTAAAATGATCTGTCCAATTAACTATTAGACCATTTTCACACCTGTTGTACTTGTTGTATTGCATTGCAAAAATAAACAAAAAAACTACTACATGAAGTAATTTGAAACTCCAGAAGAACTTTATACAGATTAAGCAGTTGCTGCAAATATCTTATTTTTATATGTGATATTTGTATGTATTTGCAGCTTTGAACTTTTGAAATGACTTCATTGTGATACATTTTTTAAAAGAAAAATGCTTACTTTTATTTTTTATATCTTCTTACATCCTTTTAGAACTATCCTATAAAGTTATTTCATAAAACTGTAGATTTTATCTTTATTTTGGTTCAGAAAACAACACACACAGTTGCATTGTATTTATATTTTATGATTTCTGATATACAATAACATTTTACTTACCCAAACTTTTTTATTCCCTGATAATCAGATTTCATTTAATATATGTAAATAAGTTTTAAACCCATTTTATATTTATTTATATACAGTTTTTATATTTCTTTTTGGTGATTTTCTTTGGCCTCTGAAATACTTAATTAGGCCAATAAGGTCTAATGTAAATAAGGCCTAACACTGCAGCCTTGTCAACAAAACTAAACTTGATATGGTTGAGTGCAAAATGATTTAACTAAGCCTACAAAAGACAATTATCTACTTATCATACTGCAACATCATAAATCAAATGAAGTATAAAATAAGGTAAGCTCACTGTCAACTTTAAAAAACAGTCAGGACTGTAATTAGGGCTTAAGTTAGTCATAAACATCTTTTCTTCTAGCAGCTATCACTTTGTTCTAATCTCTACGTGAATCTCAACTGAACTGGTGGCCATATTAGCTAATACAGATTATTTCAAACTATTATGACTTTCCTCATATCATGTTCATAAAAAGTTCAGGAAATTCATAAACACTAATTTCTTTGTTTGATGTGTGCGGAAAGCAACTCAGAATCAAAATTTGTAATTAAAAAAACATTTTATGTAAAGAATTTAGTAAATAAAACTTTCTTATTTAATACATTTTAATTTTGAAGTTCTTTTTCTTAGAAGTGTGGAAGAACAACCTCAAATTTATTTTCTACAATTTTTTTAATTCAATAAAGCAATTTTTCCCTCAATGCAGGATGCACCCATCTGGGCATAGCAGTTAAGGCAACATTTCTAAAAAATTTTTAAAAAGCAAGAATTTAAATTTCTCTTAAGAAAAACAAACATCCAGCATTTAAATAGCGATTCAAAAGGAAGAAAAAAAATGTGAAACTAACCAAAAAGCCCTTTACCTTGTCATGATGAAGCCCAGCCTATTTTGTTTTAGAGGACATTCTATGTTAAGTCGTATATTGACTATAAAAACATATTCATTTCTTTGTGCTTTCATTGTTTATAAACACCTCAGAAACCAAGGAACAACTGAAGAAAATAAAATGACAAATATTAACAAATTATTGAAGTTACTGGATGCTTTTCAGGATTGACCCAAATAATACAGTCTTATTCAAATGAGATGCAGAGAGGGCAACACATCAATAGCAAATGAGTAATAAAAGTTTCTGGCATAATGAAAGAATAACGAAAATGTTATATTTTCATAATGAAATATAAATTAGATCTTTTAAGTTTGGTAGAAATTGCATAATATCCAGGAAATTAATCAAGGGATTGAAGGCAAGAATTTAAACAACATACAGACTGATAAATTATAATTGATATGCATTCTTTAAAAAAGTACACATTATTTCCACGTGCTCAGTCAAGGCTCCTAAAATTTTTCACACCTTCAGCAATACAGCCCAAAAGTCAATATACAGATTCTTTTTCCTCTATTTTCTATTTCCTCTATTTCTCTTCTACTTTTCCTTCTCAATTTTTGCACTTTTCCTTGACCCAAAATTCCTCATGAATTTTCTATCTTAAAGTTATTTCTATACTTGGGCACTTAATATATACCCAAGATAAATTGATAGCCAGATAAAGCATATGACTCTCAGTTACTGAAAAGTACCATCATTACGATAGATTTATACTGGAAAAAAGATATATAGTAATAAAAATATAATCTAAAACACAACAGAAGCACAAACCTTTTTCACATATGTAGTTGCATCTTCCTCCGAGTACGTTTCAGCACTGACAGCTCCACGTCGACCACGTTGTGGTGGTACTATGTTAGGCATTGATGACTGTTCATCTTCTTTTTCATCACAAGGAGAAATGGTTGATGTTTGTTTACTTGCTTTGTTTGCTGCTTCCTTTACAAATTAAGATTAAAAGTATGCATAAGATAAGGAAATATTATTTTAGTACTCTAGATAAATTAGCAAGGGTACATTTTGTTTTGTTTTTTACTGCTGAAATGCTGGGCTACTAGGCCTTTAGACACTTGGAAAGAGTTCCATAATGTGAGAAACTATAAAAAGATGAAAAATTATTAAAATACCAACAAAATGGATATCAAACATATCAATACTGAACTAACTGAGAAATATAAACAAGAGGGAATCCTTAATAGCTGTAGCTATAATTAGATCTCAAATCAGTCAAGAGATGGAGCCATGAACTAATAGTTTGTACTTGAAAAAACTATGAGCCACTATGCTGCAGCTAAAAAGGGTGTACATTTTTTGGGGAAGTTAGAAGATGGGGGTTAAGTAAAAATTGGGATAAAATTAAAAATAAAACATGAAAATAAAAACAAAAAACATGCCAAATATGAAATAATTTGTCCCCCAATGGCACAGCTGTAAGTCTATGAACTTACAATGTTAAATCTAGGGTTCGATTCTCCACTGTGGACACAGCAGATAGCCCAACGTGGCTTTGCTCTCAAACAAACAAAATAATTTATGACATACTGATATAGAACTATATGGAAAATAAAATACAGACAAAAAAGAAACAACAAAAACCAAAACTGGGCTACCTTGAAAACAAAAATGCAAATGTTAAGCCTAAAAGCAATATAAATACATAAATTAAAACTCTGAAAAAGGGAAAATACTAATAAAATGCTTACAAAAAATCTTCAACAGGGGAAAAAGAACTGAAGAGAAAAGCTATTAAACATCATAACCAGTAACAAAATATTTTCACAAAACATTCACTAAACTTGCAGAAAAAAAAGAGCACAAGCAAGGTAAAGAAAAGGAAACATGAACATCACCGATCTGTGTAAATAATAAATTTATAATCAAATAATTAAAATATGTTTTATTGTCACTGCTAATGGTACTAATGATTTTATTTAAAACATACCATTAATGTAATTAGAAATCATTAATTTGCTAGTTAGCCAATTTATTTATGTATATTGTTTGAATATCATAAATATAAAAATATATTATTAATAAATAAGGATTTGAGTCATTCAGATCTTTTGACAGTTTTAACAGATGCTTTGACAGAAAACTTCTTTTTTTTATTGTCACTAGATAACTTCTGCTCTTCATCACTTTCATTTCCAGAATTAACACACTTAAAAAACTTGTAACCTTTTTGTTTTCCATTACACTAATGAAGATGAGAACAAACTTGCATTAATACCATTGTTCTGATTCATAAAAATTTCTGATGACATAGTACACATATTGTAGACTCGGCAGCAAAATGATCTCATTAGTGCTCTAATGAATGGAGGAATTCAAGGGCATACATAAAAAATCATAATCAAGCAGGAATCAGATGGAAAATCTGCTATTTGGTTCATAATAAAAGGATAATCCTAATTAAACAGGAACTAGTTTCTGGTGACTTGAAAGAATTCAGGAATTTAACTTTGCAGTTTTATGTCATAATTCAATTTTGGATTACATGCAAGTATGCACTCGTGGAAAATTGCATGTAGAAAACAAATTCTAAAATATATTATGGAAAACCCACTTACAAATTGCAAGTGTGAATTTCAAACTCTGAAAATTAAGATTTATTGAATATGAAACAGTTGTGATAACCTTCATGTCTCATTAATCAGTGACATGATGCATCAAGATATTTTAATAAAAAGTCAGCAACATGAGAGAGTATTAGCTTTAAAATAACCTAATTTACTAAAAATATCAAAATATACGATTTATTTTGGGATATGAAACCATAGTAGACCAAAGTCAATTATACTTTGGTCCTACTAAATACTACCAAGAACCATCAATATAAATGCAAACAGCTAATTAGTCCAGTAGTCATTATTATTACATAAAAAACTATTACATTTCCCATAGCCTGTGAATTTCACCAAAGCCAGGAAGGACCAAGCAAATGGGGCTAATATACAAAAGTAACATAACATCAATGCATTTTGTTTTTTAACTCATAATGTAACTGAATATTTAGAATTATACATGGACTGTTCTCTACATTAAAATACTTTTCTTATATTTGCAAGCTTTTGGCCCTCTCACCAGTCAATCAGGGAACACAAGCTAGCAAATAAAAGCAAAGTATTTTAACATAGATAATAGTCTGTTGTATAACTTTAAACAACACCAATTTTTTTTTAAATAATAAATTATTCAGATGAAGAAATCTTTAAATCCAAGCTGCTACTCTTTGGTGTTACTGACTTTTTAGTAAAAGTAAAACAAGTGTCTTGATCCTTGTTGCTCACTCGAGAGACCTGAACCTTCATGAAATTTTAAGAGTGTAATCAGGAGTTTCAGGTTTACAAAATTTCTACCACCTGCCTTTATGAAATGTAACAGTTTCACTGCAAACAGCATTAAGATGTCTCACATTAAAAAAATAATTAAAACAAATAATTTGCTGCAACTTTAAAATTAAGAAGGCATTCTATAAATTCTTGCACAAGATGCACTGTTGTACAGTGCACATTAGTCAGTGAAGCTGTTCAAAAGAACATTTCAAATTATTTGTGTAAGACTCTTACATTAAGTTACAATACATCTCTTACATCTAAAGTTAGTACATCATTGTTCTTATATGTCTAAATCCAAATATTTACTTAAGGTTGGAATTAATTTGCAAATCTTGACATCCACTATTTATAACTAAAATTTGGCTTTCAGGATACTTTACTATTTTTTTTTTAGCTACCCAACTGAAAAAATAAAAATGGCCTGGTTAAATCAAAAAAATTCTGTTAAGTGTTAACATGTTCTTATATTTTGTAATATATATGTTAACAGCAGTTAAGCTAGTCTAACATTTAAGTCTTAAAACTGTTAAAACTTTGTTTCAAAGTCAAACTGTTAATGTAATTCCTATTAAGTTATAAACAGAGCAAAGTATGTACTTAGACTTTAGAGAGAGATCAAAACTAAAAATCAACCAGGCAATCACTGATATTCCTAATCCTACTTAAGAAGTTAATTACTTATATTATAAAGATTAGAATACATTTTATCATTGCTTCGGTAATTACGACCTCTAACTTAGAATTTAGACTATTAGTATTAATATTATTAGTCTTAAAATAGAAGTTAAGATTGCATAAGGCTTAAAGCGTAAATTTAACGCACTCACTTTAAAATTAAACTTAAAGTTTAAGTTAAACTTAAAGTGCAATAAAATTATGAAGTTCTGCACCGACAGTACTTTGAATGAAAGAAAAGGTAACAAAAATTAAATTATCGCATTTATTTCAAACATTTAGTGTATTTTGTGTTCGGTCTGTTATTCTAGACCCAGTAATAGTAATATATTTTTTACACAGCTTGTATTCTTGTAACCAATTTAAGATGTATTACTAATACTAGTTCAAGTAGTTCACTAGTTCAGTAGTACTAGTTGAAATTTGTATCCAGTTCAAACTTGTTTTACATACGTTACATTACCCGTTCAAGCCTTTGAAAATATCCTCTCAAAAATGAAATTGGATTTTCCGGACGACTAACACACAGTTGAACAATACAGTCTTTAAGAAGTTGTTGAATATGGTGCCTATGTACATAAACTTCACAATCCTTCAATGTTTGCTCCTCTTCGGTGTTGGTCGCCATTTTAACCCTCCAAACAACAGGTTAACAACTTAAAGCATGCTGGTATCATTCAAAAAACATTTTTATACTTTCGAATGTCTGTTATCGCATAAAAATGTAATTAATAATAACGTTATTGACTTACACAAATTGTATTTTTATGTCTTTTTTCTCTCTCTCTTAACAAGAAAAATAACTTTAGATTGTAAAGTACGAATAACCATTTAATCAAATAGAAACTGAGAAAAAAAAAGAGAGCAACACGAAAAACAAAGGTATTCAAAAGTTTGAATTATCAGTTAATAAAGGAATGGAAACAAGACAAATTATCTCTCTCTTTTTCTACACGACCCCGTAACACGTCGGTACACTTGAGGGCTTATAACGATAGAATTTAGGGGTCGATGCCTGCAGTGGGAACAGCACAGATAACACATTGTGTAGTTTTGAACTTTGAAAAAATTATCACATATTTTCTTAACTTAAAAACCCAGTTTAATTTGTTTGTTACATGTTAGAGTGAAAACTGAAGCGATCTATATCTCATTAAAATCTTATAGAGCTTTTAGAAAACTAACATTCACAATAAATAGAAAATAGTATTGTTACGACAGCGGTGGTCACGTGACACTAGTAACACGTCATATTCTCGTACGTTCAC